TACGAGAGTCGACTAGCCACCATACCAACAAGGTTGACATGTAAATAAAAAATAAAAAAATAAAATTCGAAAATTATTGGTGCGGCTTTGGCCGCACCTGCCGCATCGGTTCCGACGCCCCTGCTAGTATTAGTAACAACATAGTAGTTAATAGTAGTAGTAGTAGTAGTAGTAGTAGTAGTAAGGCAGAGCTGCACAGCTTTCCCACAGCCAGTAGACCTGGTAGACTCTTTGCAACGCAGCCGGTCAGATCAGTTTTTCTTCCTCCTAGATTATTGTGTAGCTACCCGATATCACCAGTAACTGTTATAAGTGTTCATTCCTCTCAGCTGATCAGCTAGGTAAGAGTGCAGTATGTCGACAGATTAGAATCTCTATATTCAGTTCAATTTGTGCTTATTGCAAAATTGTTGATTCCTTTTTTTCAAAACACGGATAGCGACATTCTTTGGATGCTGCTTCCTTCGTGACAGCTTGCTCTTTCCCGGCCGCCATGATTTCTCACACGACTGACGCGAAACTGCCATCCAATGAATACGACAAGTCCAAGGATGTCGACTGCACGAATCCTTTCGGGGATCTGTCTACTACTAATTGGTCAAGGGGGGTTAGGCAGCGGATAAACCCGAGGTCCAGGGGTGAGTAAAATGAGTTCTCTTTTTGAAACTACATGAACATGGTACTTCTTCTGTCGTTTTTCTGCATTTTTCTTCCTTTTTCTCCTGATTATATGAAATTCGTATATGGCTGGCACAACTGTGTAACTAATGGACTAGAAAAAGTAAAAAAGCTCCGATATTATAATTATTATTACTCTTGGTAATACAGTCAAACCTCGTTAGGACGAACTTCAAGGGGCTGAACAAATTTGTTTGTCTTATCGGGAGTTCTTCTTATCCAGATCTTACAAAAAGATCGATATGCATATCATATGGATTGTATTTACGTTAGGGGTGAAACAATTATACCGAATATTCGAATACTCGTTTGGACTTTTCAAATATAATCGTACTCGGAATAAATCAGAGTACTCGCTCATACATGGTACATGCATTTGCCACAGAAGTCTGCATTTCAGAGCAGCAGTCGGCAGATATTGATGTGCAGACTGTGTGGTGAACACTTGTACACGAGTAAAGAGAACCCAAATGACCCACCAACCAATACACCCGAGAAAAGGACTGCCAATCGGTTCAATCAGGGTTGTATCATGTGATTTTTAAGGCCCTTGGTGCGCGATTTTTAGGATATCAAGAATACTCGAATATTCGATCGGAGAAAATCAGAGTACTCGAACTCGGGTTCTCAGTGCCAACTTTCACCCCTAATTTACGTGAAGGTGCATACTGTGGTGAATGAGAAGCATTTATTCTCAGCATAAGCCAGAAACAGGCAATGTGGTACAATTCGTTACTGTGCTTCCATATACAAACAAATAAACCATAGATTGAATATGAGTGTTAACGAGTGTGCATTTGAAGCACAGCATCTCAACATCCATACTTTACAAAAAGGTTCACGGTTCGTGTGAGACTCGGTCGGAGCCAGTGGAGGCCGAGTTTTCCGCATCCGCAGGAACGCCACTACCCTCTACGGATCAACGCTCTTTGCTTCGCAAAACACTTCACAACTCACCTCGAACACTGGTACTGGCAGGGACAACATCGTTGTTGCAAAAATAAACGGAATAAAAGTCACCCTCGCCTCACGATCACGCGATCAACGACGCGAACAGTGTAGATCTACGCTGAAGCTTGGCCTAGAAAGCACGCACGTCAGTGCGTCTACTACGATTCACTACGTACAATGTACATTGTAGATCTATGTACGTACAATCAATGTATGGACCCGGCTATCGAAAAAAGAAAGGAAAAAAGACAGCCAGCGCACGCACCCAAAGTAGATCTACGCGCTGATTTTATTCAAATCACACTTGAAAATAGTTCGTCTTCGCGAAAGTTCGCCATACAGGAGTTCGTCGTAGACGAATAATTTTGACTGGATATGATGCCTGGCCAACCATAGGATTGGCCCTAGTTCGTACTAATGGAAAGTTCGCCTTATCAGTGTTCGTCCTAACGAGGTTTGACTGTAGTCAGCATGAGGTAATCCAATCAAATGATTTTACGATAAAAATAATTTTAATATTATACTTTTAACTTGTGAGTTTGTGTGTTAGGTTCTGTGTGTATAAATTTGTGTTTATTTTTGTCGCATGCAGTTAGTTACGAAGAGCAAGTATCGGAAAACAAGCCCTGCAGGACAACTGTGGCCATGGATGGCCATGGATCAGAAGCGAATGGGCTGGAAGCTGTTCATTTTGATGTGTGGCAAGACATCTTGTTGCCAATGTTGTCTATTGAAGACGTCTTTCAGCTGTGTGCTGTCAGCAAATCCATGCAAGAGTTGCTTCCCAATGAGTACACGTTCAGAAGGCTATGTATGGTGAGTAATAATGCAAGATTCGTTTTTGTGTGTTCGTCCTTCTAACGTTACAAAGTGCAACAAGAGTGCAAGGGTAGATAATAGCACCATCATTGACATACTGTAAAACCGGAAAGTCTAACGAGTCACAAAGTATAATTTTAATATTATACTTTTAACTTGTGAGTTTGTGTGTTAGGTTCTGTGTGTATAAATTTGTGTTTATTTTGGTCGCATGCAGTTAGTTACGAAGAGCAAGTATCGGAAAACAAGCCCTGCAGGCCAACTATGGCCATGGATGGCCATGGATCAGAAGCGAATGGGCTGGAAGCTGTTCATTTTGATGTGTGGCAAGACATCTTGTTGCCAATGTTGTCTATTGAAGACGTCTTTCAGCTGTGCGCTGTCAGCAAATCCATGCAAGAGTTGCTTCCCAATGAGTACACGTTCAGAAGGCTATGTATGGTGAGTAATAATGCAAGATTCGTTTTTGTGTGTTCGTCGTTCTAACGTTACAAAGTGCAACAAGAGTGCAAGGGTAGATAATAGCACCATCATTGACATACTGTAAAACCGGAAAGTCTAACGAGTCACAAAGTCGTTTTTAACGACCAATTATTTTTTCCGAGTTTCAAATTATTTTTTGTTATTTGAAAAATACACTATCCGAGTTTCAAATTATTTTTTGTTATTTGAAAAATACACTATCGCTTTACTGTTTGGTCGTTAGACTTTCCGGTATTACAGTAATTCTAGCATATTGTAACATAATCACTGGCATAATTTGGGCATAGATTACTATTATTATTATTTGATCTTGTCTCTTTCCCTCAAACTAGTGAAGATTTTATGACTTGGGGCTCTCCGCGTGCTAGAGTGTACGTGGAGTGTGTGGGTACAGTGAGGGCTGCGTCCCACCCGCCTGTGTGGATTCACAGGAAGTGTGAGTTACGAAGTCTGAAGAAAATGTTGAACAGTCTTTGCTGGGATGACGACTACACCATAGATCAGTGGTTAGAGCATCGCTAGCTACAAGCGAGGGTCCCTGGTTCGAGTCCTGGTGGTGACAGTCAATTTTGTCTTCAGACCTTTCCCACTTGTCTCTTTCCCTCAAACTATTGAAGATTATTATTATTGTTATTATTATAGGCTTTCCCGCCCTGGCATCGCCAAGCAAGGTTGGCTAGCCTTTGCATAAGCTGCTGTATGATGGTGAGACCAAACAATGAATGCATGTATATTCAATCGAGATTCGAGGACAGAACCAAAGGTGAGCATACTTTTGAAGAAATCTGCAAATTGGGTTGAGGTACACAAAGTCGCAAACTCTACGAAAGTACTGTACAGCAGGAAATTTTCGGACGGAAACATTTTCGGACAAAGCCGAATTTCGACCTTTGGCACGGATTTTATTTGCGTACAGTGCTTCATGCTAAATGCAAGAAGGCCGTGTACGAAATCGTACGAAAATAGATTCTGTCCTAAAATTTCCTGCTATACAGTATGCTGCAAGAAATGTTTTGGGGTTGATCTCATGATCATTGTTGTCACAGGTTGTGTTAGTAGCATTAAAGGTTGTGTTTTCACAGGTATGATCTTTACATTTACATTCCTATTCTTTTACAGGATAATATTTTCACGAAATATGTTAGTCAATGAGTTATATTATGGTACACCACAGCCATGCAGCTGCCACATAGAGCATAGAGGAAAGAGTAGAAGGTAACAGGATGGTTTGAGAACAAAGTTGACCCGGAAGTGACCTTGTCATGTTTTGACAGGCTGTGGTTTGACCCTGTCAATTTGTGGTTTGACCCTGATTACTTTACCGTGACATCCGTCAAATAGTGTTACCAGATCACGTGTAACACCCGTGTACTGCGATGTAGTTGTGTTACCATAACTTTTGTAGAAAGTGTGACGGTAACTTTGAAAAGTGTGACGGTAACTTTGAAAAGTGTGACGGTAACTTTGAAAAGTGTTTGTTATGCTGTTACAATAAAAATTTTTTTTTGAAACTGTATCAATGAAATGTCTTTTATTTTTATTACAAACTCTGTTTTTATCTATATTTGTTAAACTGTGTGCGTGCAACAAACTCTGTTTTCCCTCTGGAGTATCACGGTGAGCACCACCACCACCACCACCGTCACCAAACCTGATACTCCACGAGCATTTTACGATGAATAAGGTGGCGCAGTACGCAATCTTCGTGTCGGCGGTGTCATGGTGGAGAGACGCTAAGAAGTATAAATGTACAATCAGTGCTTGCCCAGTGGACAAGATCCCGAAGACCGGAGCAACAATGAGAGGTATGTCAGAAGGCGATGGAGAAACCTTCGTCATTCCTGACGAAGAACTCTGCAAATTGGCAGAGTGTTTCTCCGAGAAGTGGAGTTGCACAACAGCATGCAACGACGACGAAGACGACGACGCGCTAAATGAGCTGTTCCACGACGTATAATGTTTAACTTTACGTATGTACCATGCACACACACACACACACACACACACACACACACACACACACACACACACACACACACACACACACACACACACAGCTCTGCCATGCGTTTGATGTTGGTGTGATGTTATCACAAACTACTCATATACAATGAGATAATAATGATGGATATAGCTATTACTACGAGATAATTACTTTTGTACAGATGCACGTATTGCTCTAAATCATTTACGAGGTAGTTTAATTATTATACGCAAATGTTTTATACAATGAATACTACACCACATTGAAGTATGTTCGTATACTATCGTTATGCATTATAAAATGAATACTGCCAGTACTACATCACATTGAAGTATGCTCGTTTACTATCGTGTTTGCATTATAAAATGAATATTACTAGTACTACATCACATTGAAATATGCTCGTTTACAATGAATAGTACAACTCAGCTACAGCTCTTACTGTTACATGTTGTGGAGGGGCTAGTTCATCAACATGTTCTGGATTCTGAACATGGTACTTTCTTGTTATTCTCGTTGTGAGGGTGGAGTGCCCATCTGTGTACCACGACTGCTTGGTTGTCTTTATTCGAACAAAGGTTAGTCGAACGCCGTTGTCTCCTACGACAACATTGTCTGAATATGTATACCGTACAGTCGTGACGACGCGAGTGATTCGTGCTTCCATTTCTAAACAAACAGGCATGCATATGCACTGCGGTTAGCCTTGGTGGGTTTATTGCAATTTATACACCATTGCAGCGGGGCTCTTACCTGATTGTTGATGTTGTTGTTGTTGCTTGCTTGAGATGCTGCTGCTGCTGTTGCTACCGCCGTCTTTCTTTCTCTGCTCGTTCTTTCTCATTCAAATGAACAGCAACAGTTGGTGCAGAGTCTAGTACTAGTAGTAGATGCAATTATTTGCTCCATCTCCCCGCACTGTGCATCACTCAGTCACGAGCTGTCAGACGTATGCCATGCCATGCATGTGCAAAGTTCCCCCACGCGTGAGCTGCAGCGAGGCTGTGTTGTGCTAGGAACATTGTACAGTCATGTACTAGTACTAGTACTAGGTGTTCTGGGTAGGAGCACGTGCAGAAAGAATGAGTGCACTAGTCATCATGACTGTCATCTGTCGCGCGTGTAGCTCTAGCTATACCTGACAGTGGTGGGTTTAGGAGGGGGGGGGGGGGGCGCGGGGGGCGCGCCCCCCCCCCTCAAAAATTTCGACCTACATGTAGGTTTCCAAAAATAATAGCCAGAGCGCCGGGTCGAGCTACAGCTACAAAAAAATGTAGTTTACTTGTAGACTAGGCTCGGGGCGCGCGCGGCCTGAAACGATTGTCCAAAAGCGGTTGCACGGTCGAGCTGGTGTTGATTGTACACACTACAGACTAGTAGTACAGTGTCAGTCTACAGAGGAGACTGTGTACTGTTGTACAGTGTGATCCCTGCTGGGACGCGCTCGGCGCGTCTTCAACGTCGTTACGTACAAACATCGAAGAAAAGTCTTCGATCGAGTCAACCAAAACACGATTCGAATGCCGAGGGCTCAGGCGATCATCCTCGTTCGAATCGTGTTTTGGTTGACTCGAAGGCTTTTCTTCGATGTCTCAGGGACATCCCAAAAGGCCAAGCTCTAGCCAGCAGAGCCTGGAATTTTTGTAAAGCGTTCCTGTGGCGGCGCAACTCCTGCTGCCGCTCCAACAGGAAACAGTGGGAGTGATGAAGTCGCTGTTATTCCAGTTGAACTTTCGGAGCGGACTGACAGTCACACTCCGCCAGACGTGGAAGAACCTGTTGTCAGCGAGCAGCCAGAACATGAAGAACAGCGCACAGTGAAAAGTACCACTGCCTATGTAAAGGATGCTTTGACTCTTTGAGAGTGGACTCGCATAAATAATTGCAGTTGATTCGTTCACCTAACGGCAAACTTGAAGTTTACAATGTACATTGTTGCTGCGTGTACAGAAATACTGCTCGTGGTGTGTGAGATTTACGGCTTGTTGTTGTTTATTTTACTTCACCAAATGAGCAGGCAGAGATGCCTTCTCACCTGCCCATAGGACAGGTTCTCACAGAATGATGAAGGGATGATATGCAAGGGAAAACAAGAAATGATAATAATAATATTATAAGACAGAAAGGACCAAAAGAAGAAAAGGAAAAATTTATATGAAGACAATTTCATGGAGTCAGAAATAGAAAGACAATAATTTCATGGAGTCAAAGAATAGAAAGACAATCTCATGGAGTCAGGAACACGTGGTTGATTTTATAGACATGCATGCACAAATGTGATAGATGAGAAGGTTGGAATTTATGGCAGATAATAAAAGTTTAACGAGGATATTCACAAAGTAAGTATATCAATGGCAGAAAGAGCTTTTCGGAAGGGACCAGGGACACGTATCACTCTAAAATCAGAGGGGAGAGCGTTCCAGAGAATGCTTGCCCGAAACATCATGGTCGATCGTCCCGCAGGCCCACGAAGAAAGGGAACTTGAAGCAAGTTCGACACTTGTCCCCGTGTGGTGCGCTGATCCTCCGGAACAGTCTCTGGGGCCGTTCGGGTGAATAACTGTTGAAGAAGGGGGGCTACAGGAGGAGCTTCTTGACATCGGTTTTCAAAATGGCTGACCTGGGACAGTAGCATGATGTCATCTACCCCCAGCCCGCCTTGATCCCGGCCGCAACCCCCCCCCCCCCCCTCAGCCAAATCCTGGACACGCCACTGAATGTCTCCATTTATAGCATCGCACTAAACAAGTTAGGACTTGCATGCTAACGTGTCAATAAAAGTACTTGCCCATGACAAGTCGATGAGTATGTGCAGGAATGCTCTTCACACGTCGTAATCCGAAGAGGCGACTAATTACATCATGGATCGAAGTGTATGTATAAGCTGATGTCGTGCACAAGATCCAGGTGTACAAGGTATAAAAGTTCATTTCTGCAACGCTGAATTAGCCATCGGCGAGGAGATCTTTCAAGATGAAGCGCGCTCACTCTTCAGGGGAGGAGGAGGAGGAGGAGGAGAATACTGCTCCTCCCCCATCAAAGAGTGCGAAAGTTGCAGATGATTCGCTCTTTGAGCTCAGACGTAGCGCACCTCGAGGTTATCTCAAAGAGTACCGAGCCGCACTGAGTGATGATCATAGAGATGTGATGTCGGTGTTCAACGAAGTAGCACCGGACGTGCGAGGTGTGATGAAGAGCGAGCTTGAAGAACACCAGTACAAAGCGGTCGTGGTCGTTTGCGTTACGCTTGAGAGAAGCGATGCTGCGGGTGAAATCTTTTCAGCATCACCTTTCTTCCGCAGTCGACCTATGATCATGCTGAACCCATCCAACGTTGCCGATCAGCTACCCGGCGCATTTGGTAAGATCATCGGTAAACTCGATGCGTGGATACAGGCTGGCTCGGGATGGACGGTGACTGGAGTGAAAAGCATCAACATCGACATTGCAAAGTATAAGCCTATGCGTGGCTCTTCGTACTTACCTCTCCCGGACAAGATCGCTAAGACCAGGAGCATCATCAATGTTCAGAATGATGATGAGCAATGCTTGAAATGGGCGCTCTTATCAGCACTCCACCCGGCGGAGCAGAACGCTCATCGCGTTACCAAGTACGTGCGGCACGCACAGGATCTGGACTTGGATGATGTCGAGTTTCCCGCAACTCTCGCCGATGTGTATAAGGTAGGCGTTGTGAAACGCTATTGCATCTGTTTGATCGATATCTGTGCACTCCTACATACTTGCGCGCGCGTGTGTGTGTGTGTTTGTGTGTGTGTGTGTGTGTGTGTGTGTATAAGTCATTCATTTGTGCACTTTTTCCGGCTTCTTGTTCACGCGTGTAGGTGGAGAAGAATAATAACTTGCACATCAACGTGTTTGGCTTTGAAGGCGAGTGCCTCTTCCCGCTGAAGCTGGTGGATTATGATAGTATTCAGGGGACACGATAAGATTTCGAAATTGCTCTGACACAATGTCCTGCCACTTCTGGAACCGGTCGGACATGGCCGGACACTGTGATTTTTTTACAAGTCTGGTACTCATAATAAAAAAACGAGAGAGCTTGGAAGCTCAGGGCCCTACGCTATGCTTTTAATGTAAAAAGGCCAGAAAATCCTATTATAAGGAGATAAAAAGGAAAAGAAGGAGCAAACCAAAAAGCGGATGAAGTGAGAGAAAAATAACAATCCGCAATAAATTCTGCAAATAATTTTGCCTAACTCATATTCAAATTGATTGAAACGTTTTTGCAATACAATGATGTAGCCAATCAACGGAAAAAAAACATTTCCATCAGTTCTACGTACGATGAGCTAGGCAATAAATGTCCTGATGTCTGTCCTGACGTTTCCTGTGACCGGCGCTGACTCTGCCGATCACGGGCGTTCTGGACTCGACGGGATCTCTCTTCCGACGTTTCCTGTGACCGGCGCTGAATCGCCCGTTCACGCTTATTTTGGAAACGTCGTGATCTCTCTTCCAAAGGATCTCTCTTCCAAAGTGTGTTTTTGCTGACGCATCCTATCACCTATTCCGCAACTAGTGCCCATTCTAATTTTATTTCCCCCTCGTCTCCCTATTAATTTTCTATCCAAATCTCCCTCTACATCAGGGAGTCGTATACATTATACGACGAATATTGTGGCGAGCTGTTTGTGGACAGCTGTTATGTACAATCCTGTAGAACCTTTGTAGTCACAAATACGGGACAGATACGGTAGCTCGAGACGTGACACAAACACACAAACAAACAAACACCAAATCACAGATACGGGACAGATACGGTAGCTCCAGGCGTGACACAAACATACACACAAACAAACAAACACCAAATCACAGGTATGGGACAGATACGGGACAGATACGGTAGCTCCAGGCGTGACACAAACACACGAACACACAAACACACAAACACACAAACACACAAACACCAAATTAAAGCTGTGTGGACCCTGGCTAGTGCCAGACGTTACTGAAGTACCGTCTTCTGCATAGCTACGGGAATAATTATTATTGTAAAAAGCTTACGTGGAGATATTATTATTGTCTTCACCAATTTCACACACGACACCACTGCATAATGCACACATGCATGTACATCACACTGCGGTATTGCTGGTCACATCAAGGATTATCATCACACAGATCTCAAGTAGTGTAACACTGATTCAAATCGCTGTGCGTTTTTCAGCAAACATAGCAACTGTGACATGAGCGTGTAGTGTTTCTGCACATTTCGGATTTGAGCTGGATTTTCAGCGGCAGATCAAAGACATTCATTTTTACGCAGTCGGCAAAAGACAAAGTGGGCACCTGCTTGCCCATTCTAACTTCTTGTTGCCAGCTCCAAGATCGACAACATGTCACTACTCGAGTTGGCTGAAGGCACCCATATTTGCAAACGCGATGTACTCTTTGAACAGCACGTTGTTTCTACGCGACGTTGAATTTCTGACTAACCTTCGCTGCTGCTGTTCCGTCGATCTTGCACAGCGCCTGTGCAACAGGAGCGTAATTGACTGGATTTGCAGAAGACTGCTCCTTTCGATAGACGCATATCGCAAGCTGGCACACATTTCTGACGCCTTGTTTCCCTGGAACAGGCACGTTTTCAATATTTCGGATTGTACAAGCGCCTCACGTAATAGTTCCTATTGTAGCGAGAAAGCGAAGAAATTTCATTTCAAAACTCCTCGATCGTTTGCTACGCTCAAACTGGAGCTACACTGAAGTGGACAGCTCCCTGTCTTGCTGTGAAACCCTCTTGTCCCAGGTTGCTGCTCCGACTTCGTGAGACTTCTTCCCAGGCCGAGCGCCATTGTCCTCAGCCGTTCTCTTTCCCAGCGACGCTATTTTGTGAATTTCGATCGAAAAGATTGTCCGTTCAAGAAAAAAAAGCGCCGGATTCGAATCGAAAATGGTCGGAAAATGTCCGATGTCCGACCGTTATCGTGTCCCCTGGTATTAGTGACGATGATAGCGATGTGATCAACCTGCTGCTAATCTACGACGAGATGGTGAATCACTTCTGCTGGATCAAGAACTTCAACGGCCTGTGCTTTCACTTGAGCAAGTGCGGATCTCGGACTCACTTCTGCATGAGATGCTTTACAGGACACCGCACCCCCGAAACGCCGAGGAATCATCAGCGTTACTGCACGAATGTCAAGCCTGCCGCAGTGAAACTACCGGAACCGGGAGAGACGCTGATATTCAAGGATGTTCAGAGTAGGATGAAGATGCCGTACGTAATCTATGCCGATAGGGAGAGCCTTATCGTACCGAGCTCGGAGCAGCATGGAAAGCATACGGTTCGCAATGCAGAACACGTCCCCTGCGGTGTTGCCTACGAGGTAGTCCGCTCAGATGGAACGGTTATGAATCGATATCTGTGCAGAGGTGAGTCTCAATGCACTGCATACACTCTTAATGATAATTATGCCGTAAAAATGCTCCTACTATGATGTGTCCATTTGATGTATAATAATAATATTATAATTGCATCAAACTCATGAAGTGTGTGTTGTGTGTATATGGACGTGTGCTATCCAGGAGATGACTCAATCGAGACGTTTTTCGAGCAGTTGACTAGCGAGGATGGGAGAATCACCGAGGATCTCAAAAGAAAGCAGTCGTTGACTATGACGGACGATGAGCGGCAACGGTTTGCTAGCGCTTCTGAGTGCTGGATCTGCAACAAGCCACTCAACGCCGATCGAGTGAGAGATCACGATCACATCAGCGGAGAGTTCCGCGGTGCTGCACACGACGCATGCAATCTTCTTCTACGCATCACACCAGAGACGCATCCAATTCCCGTGGTGTTCCACAACCTTAAAGGTTATGATGCACACATGCTAGTTTCACGGATCGGTGTCACAACGAGTGAAACGAGCAGTTTCACGCAACCCAGTGGAAGAAGCGGACTCAAGAAGGCGGGTGAGATAAAGGTGATTCCGAACAACATGGAGCGCTACGTGTCGTTTTGCTGGGGGAGATTTCGCTTCGTGGACAGCCTTGCCTTTTTGAACGCATCACTGGACAAGTTGGTGAACAATGCACCTGGAGAGTCGTTCAAACATCTGAGTACAAAATATTTACACATAAATGTCGACATAATAATTATGAAATGCTTACTGTGCAATTAGTTGTCTTTGTAGCTATATTAAAACTGCTGTCTTCGAAATGCTTGTTTTCCTTTCTACATTCAATTTTATTATTGGCTCCACATCCAAGTATCCTTTTTCCCTTCCCTGGAAACATACATACCAATATACATACGCACACACAGACACGCAGAGACCCACACCCACACACATTTTGAGGACTCATCGCCAAAGGCGAAGGGCGAGAGGCTTATCGGGCCTCACATGAATTCTGATGATGTTTGAGGTCGCCCATTCTGCGGAACGACCGTCCTCATGCACATTTAAATGGCTGCGTGGGTAGAGGAGCCGGAGGAGGGCGTGGCCGTCACAGCGGCTGCGGGCGCCTCATTTTTTCGGCTGTTTTTTGGAACTGCAACAAAGCGCGCGATGATCGCACCTCAGTGCAAACGTGGTAAACAACGAAAAATCTATGTCCCCGATCGAGTTTTTTTTTCAAAATAAAAAACTCTTTCATGGCAGTTACATGTACATTGAAATGGCACCAAATACCCAGAAATGCTTGCAATTGGCTCCAGGGAGGGAGCCATTCCCCGGATATCTTTCATTCGCCAGGCTGGCCTCTCCTATGCCCTGGATAACCGTAGTTGTTCAGGAATTTCCATGGCATGCAAGTCGTCAACAATGAAATCTCACCAGTGCTTCTTGGGATCATGGCGTGGCTGAGACGACGACAAATCTCCGAAGTGAACTTGCTGACGCATCCGCTCTGGGCTCATACGTGCAACACACACACAAACACCCCCCCCCCCCAACACACACAAACAACCCCCCCCCCCCCCACACACACACACACAGACACACACACACATCCAACTCCAGCCCCTTACACACACCTCAGACATGACCATCGCGTAAGCGATGATAGTGAACAGCTATGTTAGACATAGCAACACACACACCTTAGACCTTAGACATGCCCATCGCGGGAGCGATGATAGCGAACAGCTATGTTAGACATAGCAACACACACACACACACACACACGAGCACGCCCCCTCACATATGCACTTACACGCACACAGCCCCCCCCCCCCCCTCGATCAGGCATTATAAACGGCAGGTCAAGTTGTGCCTGTAGGTTGTACATGACACATACGTACTCCATACGGGTGTGTGCCGAAAACATACCCAAAGGACACTTGCACCACCCTGGTACACCGAAATGTTTTTTTCTTCATATTTTACCACACACGCACGCACGCAAACACACACATACGCACCCCCCCCCCCCCACACACACACCCACCCACACACACACACACAAACAGCAGGTTGCATGTTACACACACTCCATTCCGGTATGTGACGACAACCTTAGCAAGGAGCACTTGCACAACCATGGTACACCAAAAAAACGTTAAAACAATTCTCCCCCATGCACCTACATGTACATACACAACACGCAACGTAAAACACAGTGCAAACGGTATTTGCAATGCTTATTTCACTGTAAAAGATCTTGACACTTATACAGATACATGTATAATGGCATTTGATTGAGTGAACAGAGCTTGTCTGTAGGCACGATGCCGACTAGGAGGGTCGATATGACAACAGTTACCAAGGGTTACCACAATGCCTCGCTGTCTATGTAGTATGTACATGTATACATAGACAAGACCGGCACAGGGTGAAACAGCAATGTACCGGCCACCGCACGGCCTGCTAGCAATAGAACGGCAAGCTAGGAATAGAACGGCCTGCTAGCAATAGAACGCCCCCTTCATGGCCTGATAAAATAAATGATCATCGCACACCTGGATAGAATGGCCATCGCAAAACTAGTAAGAACACGGCCAACTCACGGCCTAATGACCATCGCACGGTCTAGTGCCAGCGTGCTACGATACAGAGACAAAACACAAGGACGTACCCAGTGCTGAACGTGCACAGGCAACCACGATATCCCATTCAACATAAACTATAGAGGCGAGTATGGGGTTACAGGGAATAGTATGGGACATGGGATTCAATTTGTAAACTTCTTCCACAAACTGCAAACCCAAAGCTTATAACATGGTCATGGTCTGTTGTAGTACATGTAACCTGAAAATGATTACCCATTATAAAAGTCCACACATACAAAATGTAGTCATCAGTAAGACCGCATTCGCAGCATAACGACATAACGGTTCACATGACTAAACGATATTACAGTGCACAGCAGCACACACACACCCGCTCAACCGTTCATGCTGTGTTGTATACCCAAAATTGTAGAAAAAATCATCAGTTCAGCTACGAGATTTAGATAAGCCGAGCTAGCAGCCATGGTGCAAAGGAGGAACCACAGACATAAAATTTAATATTGTTGGTCGCTCTTGCGACAGAGTGCTCTAACTGCACCAAACAAAGTCGGCAATGTGTCATGTAGCAGCATTGGAGCAGCCTACCGAGAGCGACTAACACGACGAATGTCGAGCAGCATAATCCCCACCTGTGTTCTACACCTATGTGCGCAATGGGCGCACTACAGCCCACCCATATACAACTGGCAACAACGCGTGAACGTACAGGCAGCTTGCACAGACACAGTCATGTTCCACTAGGTAGTCCAGGTCTATATTGCAGCTAGTAGCGCAGAACACTGGCACACCTGCCATGAGACGTATGGCGGGCGCAGGCCTCGGCGCTACGCGCCTTGGCCTGCGCCCTTGGCCGTATGCACTCGGCCTTGATTCAGCCATAAAGTCCTGCCAGAACTCTATGATTGTCTACGTCGTGGTCCCTGGCATTGCCTCGTCTCCGTCCTGGCTGTTAGATGTTGGCGTCACTTACTGCGAGGGCAGCACTGTCGGTTGCTCTTCAAGTAATAGTTCGCAACGAGTGCGACGAGATGCCTTCTGAGTGTTGCACTGTACCCTCGTCGGCTCCTCCTGGCACAGGTACCTTCCAAAAGAGAAGGTAAATTTTGACAAACCTCACTCAGTGCGTGCACTAGGCACAGGTCATTGCACAAAGTGTGCAGTACAACCGTGCACAGGTGACCATTCTGAGACGCCGTTATCCGCTCCAACAGTACTTATGCCACTGTATGACTTACGGTCAGGCCACTCCTCACCAAGCACAAGACCACACTGTGCTGAATCTGGGTCAGGAATGTCGCAGAAGGTGTACGTGCCGTAGACTGCAGCCTGCCATAGATGTCACCATGTTACATGAACAACATGGTCACTGGCAAGCTCAGCGAGTTGGCGTTACATCTTACCATTACAGAGCTAGGTGATCGACACGTTTGAATCCTTGCTGGCACACAGGATATTCTTGCTGAGGTCATCCGTCATAACATCATCACCATGCTGACGCAGTGTTTTCAGCTCCGCTTTCTTTTCATATACACCAGGCAAAGCAGAAACACACCGACGAGCAGCATGCACGCTAGAGCGGATAAGATGATGAGCAGGTAGAACTCTTTAAAACCGACGGCAAAGAACGCTGATGACAAGCTGAGGAGAATGAGGGACATGATGAAGATGCCAACGGTTGTTTGCTCAGCCTGCTGCGCATCACACTAGACCAGAACAAGCGCAAAAAATAGAATACAACCGAGTTACGAATTTGTTCTCACTTTGGTTTATCTGTCAAATAACTAATCGTGTTTTTGGGTTTGTATTTCAAGACAAAGAACCGGGCACGGCATATGCTTCAGAACATACATTACTCTCATTTCTGAAAATTCAGGCGCTCGCAAATTTTAATTCCGACTAGAGATTTCATTCACCAGCACAAGTTGGATTTTGGTTGTCCAGGACTGTACACGTATAATAATTTTTGGGCGAACCAGAATGTTCTCGAAATAGTTTTGAGAGCCATGGCAGTAAAGAGATGAAATCAGACCAAACAGTGAGTAGATTTACGAAAACTACCCGTAACCGATCGACAGAGGTTATATCATACATGATCCAAGTAGGCTGTGTTGTCACTATTACTTGTGGCAATGATCTCCGCGTGCAAGCAATTTGGTAGTTGGCCAAGAATTTCTAGTACCTCGTCCTTTCTTTCTTTCGTATCTGGCTTGCAAGTGTTGAGTTTCGGAGAGAAAAGAGCAGTACGGCACATGTGGCCTCTAAATTCCTAAAAAAATTGAAATTTGGGTTTGCTCGCAGTGGACATAGTTTGATGCGCTCCCCATGATATCAAGCGAATGGCCAAAGGCGCTTTTGATTGGTGTGAGTTGCATGCACCCTCGATATTAGATTCAAGACGTGGTGCATCTGAGCATCAGGTCGTTGAATGTCAGGATCACGTCAGGCTGTGTTGCGCTAATTGCTGCACATTTTGACACAACAGTATCATGCTGATAGTCGTTAGTGTTGGACAAAACGGGTAACTGGTAAACTCATGGTCCTCTCTTTCTGACATAATATATTATCATCTTGCTAAATTTCAACGCAGGTCCTGTTAGTAATTCTGAGAGTTGCCATGAAAATGCAGTGGTGGAAATGCTAAAAATTCCAAGTAAGAATCGGGAGTCGACGGAGAATGACGCCGTCTCCTGCTGGCACTCGAATTGCAGCCGGTTTGTACGCTTGCTTCCCAGTCTACAGTATGAAAAGCGGAACAGATTCACCTCTTCCCGTCGTGACCCGATTGGAACGGTAGTGCGGTTGCGTTCCTGTTTCTGGTGTTTACACTGGACCCCGTAAGACCATCCTCTTGCTTGACGCCGATCCTTACTTGGCGTCCTGGCGCGCCCTGTCGAATGTGAACTAGGCTTTATGGGACCAGTACGAATGTAGAATACTCTTACACAATGTGTGTCATTCTAATGATAGCCCCAGGAAATGATAAAACAGTTTATCTAACACGCTACAGGACTATCCCTAAATGCAGGAAGTGACATAAAACTTATCTTTCTAAATTTCCACTCCAGTCGTTTTAGCTATTCTTTGACTTTGGCTGTGTTTACATGAGAAATTTCAACCCGGGTCGAGTTCAGCCCGGGTTGAAAGTCTGTACGATAGACAAAAGAGGTAAGCGTTTACATGAAGACAGTTGACCCGGGTCAAATACTGATATGCCGCCAAGAGTCCACTTCTAAAGTCCTGTATGGTCACGTGAATCCGTTCGCGCGAAATTTGCATCTGCAGTGCTGTTCAAACCTGGCGCGAGATACGCACAGAAGTACGTTTGTACGATTTTCTTGACCCGGGTAAGGAGAGGTTTGAAATCAACCCGGGGCGAAATTTCAACCCGGGTCAAGCGC